TCTCGCTCCGACTTAAATACTACCTGCAATATAAATAAGACTTTTGGGAAGTTTTCATCCCGATAGGTTTAAAGCCGAAAGACTAGTTTGCCTAGAAACGGACAGACGGACGAACAGACGGGCATGGCTAAATAGTATAGTGATGCTGATTAAGAATATATATACTTTATGGACTGGGAAACGTCTCCTTCACTGCGTTGCTATCTGCCGACTGCAATCATTTTACCCACTGCAAGGGCATAAACAATGTTTAAATAAATTAGGAATAAGCACATTAAGACAAGGGGTTGTTTAACATAACACATTAAAAATCTGTTCATGAAAACGATTGTAGAGAACATTTAAAATTCAATTAAAACATTTATATAGCCTGAAAATAATAAATGAATCATTTCTTATAGCCTGCAGTGTGACCATTCGCGGAGGCCTTCCCAGTCCGCAGCCCATCTACCTGAAAACCGACTCCGAGGACTTCTATCCCTTCTCCGATGTCGGAGTGATGGACTTCGAGTCCGGCGGCTCCCTCCAGCTGTGGTGTCCCTCCGGTTTCAACACCCACTCCCAGAATCTGCTCACCGCCAGCTGTGTGAGTGGAACCACCTTCAGCGTGGACGGATCTCAATTCGAGTTCAAGGACCTGTACTGCAAGGCCTGGCCGGGATTCAAGGCCATCAAGTCGGGGGCCACCTGCAACGGCGGTATTGTGATCCGCGTGGGCTTCGAGATCGACTCCTCGAGGTTCGCCGAGCAGATGCAGGTTTGCTTCAATGAGGAGGAGGAGGTGACCCGTTACACTCGCCACAAGCTGGAGCCCGGCAGCAACTACTACGAGACCGGAGTGGCCAGGATAACCTTCCAGACGGCCGGCTTTTTCGACGGCAAGAACGTGGACAAGCTGTACACGCAGGCCACGCAGCTGGAGACGATCAACAATGACCTGGGCGGCGATGCGGCCCAGTACTTCGACACTGCCACCAACGTCTTCCTGGCCCGTGGTCACCTGGGCGCCAAGGCTGACTTCGACTACGCTCCCGAGCAGAGGGCCACCTTCCTGTTCATCAACGCCGCTCCCCAGTGGCAGACCTTCAATGCCGGAAACTGGGCCCGCGTGGAGGACGGTCTGAGGGCCTGGGTGTCCAAGAACAAGTTGAATGTGAACTGCTACACTGGAGTCTACGGTGTGACGACTCTGCCCAACAAGCAGGGGGTGGAGACCCCGCTGTATCTGGCCAAGGATGCCAACAACAACGGCCTGATCCCAGTGCCCAAGCTGTACTTCCGAGTGGTCATCGAACCCACTTCCCACAAGGGTATTGTCTTCGTGGGCGTCAACAATCCCCATCTCACCGAGGAGCAGATCAAGCGCGACTACATCATCTGCACGGACGTCAGCGACCAGGTGACCTACATCAACTGGAAGACCACGGACATTAAGGCCGGTTGGTCCTATGCCTGTGAGGTCGCCGACTTCCTGAAGACCGTTAAGCACCTGCCCGCCTTGACCGCCAAGGGAGGTCTGCTCGTTTAAATGGTGACCTAATAAAATCCACAACTTTTCAGAATTTTATTTCCAATGAGTATGCCAATGGTGGTTAGTAGACAATTTAGAGTATATTCCATGCGGTTCCCTTCGTTCTTGGCCATGATATCATTGATCCAGTTCATGTGGACATAGACGTTGGTGTAAACCGAAGGCAAGGTTTTGGATCCGCATCCAATTCGATAAGTCACCACCCCAAAAACTGTTCTGTTGAGGATTAGGGGACTCCCAGTGTCCCCGGCACAGGGGTTCTCGTCCAGGCTGTTGTTCAGGTTTCCCGCGCACATCATCTCCTCCTTGAAGGTGTGAAGTTTCTTCTCACAGATCTCCCGGGGCAACAGCTCCACGTCAATGTGCAGAATGTTGGAGGCCATGGGACCGCCCTAGAAGCATTTGATATTGGTCTCGTTACATTTCAGAAGTGCAACTCACTTTATAGACCCTCCCCCAGCCCAGAACCGTGTAGTTAACACCCGATTCGGGGTCAGTCGTGGGCAGACTGATCACACCCACGCGCGGATTGTCCAAGGGCAGTTTCTTGGCCAGCATCATCAGCGCAAGGTTGTTCGTGTTGAACACCGTGAATTGCTCCGGTACAAAGATCTTCTGCACTGGAATGTGCACAGTGAGACCATCCCGGTACTTCAGACGATTCGCGGTTCCAGCCACAATGAGCAAGACCCGACTCCGATGTATGACCTTGCGCTTGCTGTTGCATAGGTTACAAAGTTAGGAGGATGCAAACGAATATACAACCTTTCTATACCTACTCCATGGCGCAGTGGGCGGAAGTCATGATGTAGGTTCTCGAAATTATGACCCCACCGCAAAAGTGATTGTCGCCAAAAAACTTTCGGGGCGTTCGAGACCGAATGGAGACCACATATTTCGCCAGCACCAGGGTTTTCTCTTCTTCGAAGTAGGGACTTGATAGGCGTTTCGCACGCCGACGGATAAAGTGACTCCCGATTGGACCACCAGCTTCGTAGGACGGCAGGAGCAGCATCAGAAAGAGGAGGAAACTACACAATTTCCTTGATACATTGTGTTTCACTAGTAACATCAGAGAAATTTTAAATAATTTGACAGCTAACACTTGCAAAATATGAATAAATTCATATTATAGGTTGGAGAGTACATTAATTGCCAATATTTGGTATAATTAGAAAAACTTTTTGAAAAAAGTGAGAAAGAAAATTTGTTAATACTAAATTAATACTAAATTTGATGTTACGAGTCAAGGTTTGTTTGGGTGTATTTTACTTTGATTCTATCTTTAGAATGTGTTAAAAGTAAAAAGTTAACATAATCTTAAAATGGTACTATTGCAAAATACATTTGTTTTCGTATTCCCAGTCCTAGAACTAAAACAAATACAGTATAATATAAAGTTTTTATTAAGTCCGTTAGAGAGTTAGACCAACAAGCCACTGACTGAGAATTCGGGGAGGTGATCCACCTTCTTGCGGAACTCTGCGACCTCGCAGGCGTAGGAGTAACCAGCGGTGAGGTCTGTCTTCTTCCAGCTGATCCAGTCGATCTTGTCGCTGACATCCGTGCAGAGGATATAGTCTCGCTTGATCTCCTCCAGACTCAAATGGGGGTTGTTCACGCCGATCAGAACGATGCCCTTCTTCGACGAGGGTTCGATAACCACCCGGAAGTAGAGTTTGGGCACTGGGATGAGACCGTTGCCATTTTTATCGTGGGACAGGTACAGCTGCCTCTGCTCTCCATTTTTGTTGGCCAGAGTGGTCACTCCCCAGACTCCCGTCCAGCACTCCACGTGCTTCTTTTCCTTGGCCACCCAGGCTCGAACTCCATCCTCCACGCGGGCCCAGTTGCCGGCATTGAAGGTCTGCCACTGGGGAGCGGCGTTGATGAACAGGAAGGTGGCCCTCTGCTCCGGGGCAAACACGAAATCAGCCTTGGCACCCATGTGCCCGCGGGCCAGGAAGATGTTCTTCGCCGAGTTGAAGTAGTGGGCTGAGTCCATGTCCAACTCCTTGTCGATGGTCTCCTTCTGCACCGCCTGCGTGTACAGCTTGTCCACGTTCTTGCCCGCAAAGTAACCGCCAGCACCGAAGGTAATTCGATCCACCCCGGTGGCATAGTAGTTGTTTCCCGGCTCCAGGCGATGGTAGACATACCTGGTCACCTCCTCGTCCTCGTTGAAGCACACCTCGTACTGCGTGGCGAACCGGGAAGCGGACAGTTCAAAGCCCACCTTGATCAGAGTGGTGCCCCCATTGCAGCTGGAACCCGACTTCTTGCCCACAAAAGCTGGCCAGGATGTGCACTTGATGGCGGACAGGTCGTGCTCCTTATCGTCGATCTTGAAGGTGGTGCCACCCACACACTTGGCGGTCACAGACTTCCCGGACAGAGGAGAAGCCAGGCTGCTGGTGCAATGGAACTCTATGGTCTTGTCCTTATCCACATCCACATTGCCACTGTCCGAGAAGCCAACTATTTCCGACGTACCCGACTTGATCAGCAGAGGCTGGGGATCCTTCAGCTCGGAGCTACGGATCTTAATGGAACATCCAGCTAAAATGGAAGGGGTTTTTGGTTAAAAATTATTGGGTTGGTATGAAACTTAGCTTGTAATGAATAGGAAGTTTGTCAACTAAACAATATTACACATAAGTTGAAATGATTAAATCGTGGTCCCATAGAAATATAACAAACCATGTCCTCAAGTTCACCAGAACTTCAATTTATGTTTGACAAACAGGTCACAAAAAAATTAACAGAAAAAAATATTAACGATTTTTAACAGATGAAATAAATTAAAATTATGCATTTACTATATGGTTTACTTTTGGCATTATAAAATATTTATAGAGAATATTAGAAAAAAATCAAATTAACTTTACATTAAAAAATACAAAAATGAAATAAGTTCATAAACCTGGTAAAGTATTATTGCGTAAACAGTTGAAAAAATGTAAGACTAGTTTTAACGCAGCTCCTTTAGGATCCTCTCATTTCGGACTCACCTTCTCTGGGTTCAATCTCGTTCACCACTTCCGGAATCGCAGGCAACTCCCAGGGGAGATCCTCCTTCGGCAGGATCCTGGCCTGGCCACTGGCCAAGAAGAGGCCACTCAAGGCAATTAACACTAGACCCTTCATGTTTCGCAACTGATGCGGTCCCGGGAAGACCGGGTGCTTTTAAGCCAACTGGCCGACCGATGATTGATTAGATTCCCCTGATTGCGGTCGTGTTTGCGGGCTGATATCGGCACTTGTTGATGCTTTGATTGCTTCACGTGTCCCCAGATTCGGCTGCTTCATTCCCACCGCTGGCATTATCATTTAATTAGTTTTGGCGCCCGTGATTAGACTGATTCCCGGGAGTGGGGACAAATTAAATACTTGTGATCCGGCTGGAGCTTCAACCTCTTTCACGTGCCCAGCACGTTTGGTTTTCGCTCAATAATGGATGTTGGTCTTCTTTCACAAATATCAAGTGTTTATTATTGGTTTATCGTAAGGTATACATCAACTCACATTTATTGGTTAGTTTTAAACTGGCTTCTAGTGTGTTTTGGCGCAACTGTACTTAATATCACTTACTATATATACAACATTTATAGATATGGTTTTATTTCGCTTATTTTCTTGTACGTCACTGACATCAACTTGAGATAGCTGGAAGTATTTACAAAGTAATTTCCTAAGCACTTCACAAACATTTTAATCGTTTAACGTTTCTGTCAAATCTTGTTTTTATTGTTTCTGTGACTTTTGCTCGGGCTGTTTATTTTTATTTTATTTGGATAGACATGCGATTTATTTAATTTAATTATTTTAAAGCTTTTGTTTGGGCTTTGCAATAAAGTGGCTTTTGTCTGTTAACTTAATACTGGAGAGTATTTTGTCCTTATTGACAGAAAAATGTTTCATTTATCTCTTGGAGAGCTCTTTAATATGCTATGGATTTTTAATCTTTTTGGATATGAAATTTACTTTTAATATTTTTAAACATTTAGAGTTACTGCTATTATTGTTCTTATTATTACTGACTTTCTGCTAACTTTGACCTTTTGTTGACGTATTTACAGTAAGAGTTTTGCATTGGTGACTTGAAACTTATTTTTTTCAAAGCGAGTTGTCTTAAAATTAACTACGTGTGATAGATTTTACAGAAATCTTTTAAGCCTTTATTTAAATTCATGGTAAAAGAATATTTAAAAAATATATACCAGATAGTTAGATAGTTGTGGTTTTTAAATATTTAGATAAAAAATATTTGGAGATTTTGAAAGAAAACAGTATATTTAAGGACTTTAAAACAGGCTCAAAATCGTCCTATGTTACTGCAACCCATAACTTCATAAAAGTATTAATGTTGCGATATGAGTTATTTTTATTCGGCGTTGTTAAAGCATTAGCTAAAGTTTTGTGTAATATTTTTGCCTAAGCTATTTACATTTAAAGCTGTAATCTATCTGGCTTTTATGGGGTACTTTTTAAATTTATCTTTTTATCTTTGGAACAAATCATGTTATGTGGCCTTGGAAGCAACATTTCAAAGAGGGGCTTCTGGTCTACAGGAATATGGCGATCTGGGCGTATATCTCCACGGCCACCAGGAGGCCCATTATGGACAGATTTACAGCGCAGTAGACGCGTCGCAGTGGACGTCGGCGCTGACGCTGACCACAACATTGACCACGGAGGCGGACGCCCTTCGGCCACCCAGGTTCCAGATGCTGGCCCTCGTCAGGATCGCCGTCGTCGTCGGTCTCACTTCCGCTTCCGGTTCTGATTTTGCAGTTGCTGGCGCTGTCGCATTCGCAGTCGCTGTGATTATGGCACTTTCCCCGGTCGTTTGTACCACTGGACCTATCACTTCCCTCTGCCCCAATGGCTGCATTTCCATTTCCGGTTCCCGATTTGCATGGCGGCCAATGTCAAACCGACGCCATCGACGAACTGCTGTCATAGGCCACCAAAAGCGAATCGTTCTCATCGCTGCCGCTCCCCGCACTCTTCTCCGACTCGTTGATGACCTCCAGTTGCGTTTGGGGTCGGGCGATTTTGTACTTGTTGTGCCGCTTGTTGATCAGCACGCTGCGGATGTTGTTGTTGGTGCGACGGCTCCCGCTCCTCTGACCCTTGACCTTGACCACAGCGGATCGAGGCTTGGACCGCGATCTGCCTGCCCTGGCCGCCCCCAACATGCTGCAGTCCGCATCGTCCTGCTGCAGGCCCAACTGCTGCTGCTCGGCCAACTCGTCATCGTCGTAGTAATCGTAGTAGTCGTCGTAGTCATAGCCCACCTCGTCCTCCGTGTCCAGGCCATCGCCATAGGCATCGTCGTCGTCGTCATCGTTATCATCGTCGTACTCAAAGTCGAAATCGAAGATGGCGCAGCATCCGCCGGAAGTCGCTTCGATGCTATGGCGACGTCTTGACCGCTTGCTGTACGTGTATGTGTGCGGCTTGTTCGTACTAACACTCTTATACATCGGCGCGAAAATTGCGGTCTTGGCCTGGGGAAATAAGAGTATATCAAATGATTTGGTTCGGGAATTAGTACAGGTGATTAATGTGATTAATACTCATATTAATTAGTTATATAAGTTAATTACCAGAAGAAAATAAATATCTATAATGGCCAGTGATGGCAAAGGAATTCTCTGAGACAAAAATTAGGCTTAAAGGACGTGAGCCCTTAAATAATTATGGCGCAGGGCACATGCACGGAAAATAAAATATATAATGAAAAAATTTGGGCTTATTTAAAAGGAGTTACATATTCCCCAAAATAAGTCCCAACCAAAATATATATGGGTATTTGGTTCTGTTTCAGATTATAATCACAGTTATAGAAGACATGTAAATTCCTTGACCAGCATTGGCTAAATAAATCATAAGTCTCTTGGCAACCTCTATCATTGGGTGTTGATTAATTGACTTACCTCAGGTCCTCGCCAAGTAATTCCAGAACGCACCAGGTTGTAGAAGCGCAGCACTCCCCACATGGCCAGCACCTGTTCCAACAGGAATGCAAAAAATTGAGTACCATAAATATCCATTAGATAAAATCCCACCCCGCAGATACACTCGCACACACTCAACCTTTTTCCTAGAAATCCATGAGATAACATTTTTATGCTGCGTAAATGGACTAATGGACTTAGCTAGTAATTAAATTATTTATTACATGTATTGATTAAGCCTTGTGTGGGCTGTGCGCACAGCCAATTAGCCTCTATTGTTATTGACTGACGCGTAAGCCGTTCGAAAGATATATAAGTGCCAATTTTGGTGTCACCCCTGCTTTGTTTCTATATACAACTTGTGTCAACTTAAAATATTTCTTAAATTTCGTGTAAGGAACAGTTTGGTTTGTAGTATTTGTATTTACGAACTGCTTTTCAATCGCGTTATTTGATGTTCAAATTTATACCATTTAAATATCACCTGTGCGCCCTGGGAAATTCTTATGATGTAGTAGCAGACGCCTGCAGGGACAAAACAAAGTTCTTTAGCTTTGTGGACTCTAGACCATGGAGAAGTTTCAGGCGCAACATGGAGAATTTCCTAGAGTGCGACATAAACACTTATCACATATATTATTGGTTCGTCCTAATATTCAGTATTTATGGAGTGGTGGGTTTTGAAAAAATCACAATCGCAACTTGAGCTAATCTATTGAACCTCCCACAGATACAAAGTCTCTTTCGATTCTCGCGGTTACTCTTCACCAAGGAGACGTTTGGGAATTCTATGTGGCACAATAATAGATTCCACGTGTTTCCTCCGAAAATGGTCAGAAGATTCAGCGTTCTAACCGCTTTTATACTAACGAATATCTGGGCTACTTTGTTGTATGCTGCTTTGTTTGTAAGTGCTTATATTTACATAGAAGGTTTTCAAGCCAGCAGAATATTTGATAAAAATTGTTCGCTAATAGTTATTACTTTGTGGATCTTTAAGATACCACTTGGGTATACCTATACACCATTTTCATTAACTGGTACTAAGTATTTTTTAAATTTTCCTAGGTGTCACCACGTCACATGGCACCATGGCTGTGGGTCCAATTGTTGACACTCGCTTGTCATCTGGTAGCGTCGTTTATGAAATCTATGCTGGGGAGTATGAAAGGTAACCGAACTCGGACCACAATCTATCTGACCGTGTATGTGGTGAACATATGGCTTGTCTATCAGTCCAAGATGGCGTTTACCATAGCCCTAAAGCAGGATACTCCAGAAAAGCTGATGCTCTGTTCGCGATACATACACCCTTTACTAAGCTATTTTAATGGCATACTAATGTAATAGCTGAAGGTGTTATTTTCGTTGAATTATACTATGTATACACTCCCATAGCTTTTAGTATTTAAATAATATTTATCCAACTTACGTTTATTAGGGCTCGAGCAACAAAGAAAGCCACCTCGGCTTTGCACATGGCATCAAATTGCTGAAAGTAAAAGGTTTATTTAAATTAATTATGAATTGTTTCTAATTTTTTCACGAGTAGTTGGCCCGCAAAAGCCAAACAAACAACTGAAAATATAGTTGCGAAAATAGTTGGCTGCCTTCTGCTTTGGAAAGCAATTTGCAAGGGCGAAGTAAAAGTTTCTAGCGTGAAAATGGAAAGTTTGACTTAGAACAGAAGCGAATTAAATTAATTCAAGCGGTTTAGCTGGCGCCATAAATTAAATCTCAAATTTCAGAGGAAGCCGTAAGTGGCAAACCACTTTAAGGTACTTTTAATTGTTTGAAAATATACGAGTTTTAAGGGTAAGCTTAAAATAATTTCTGAAATATGTGTCTAGCGCATATTCCATAATCGCAAATGAAAAACATAAAAGTCCTGGGCAAATGATTGGAAAATTCTACAAAAAACCTCAAACAACAAATTAGTAAAAACCCAGACCATAACGCAAAACTTTGCTATGCCAAAACAGAGAAAAATGAATTTTTACCTTCTGGATTGCAATAAATTATGCATGAGGTGACAATTTTCCGGGAGAAAAAACTTTCCGTGTCCCCCGGCTAGGCGGAAAAAACAAACGAAACGAGAACCGTAGGAAAGCAGAACACGTTCGTAATAGAAAAAGCCGAACAGCAAAAACAAATGCCGTGCGACACAGACAAATGTAAAATACTAAGGGAAAATGGTGCAGAAAAATGCCCAACTCATTGCATATGTGCAGACGGAATAGATCCTCGTGCCTGTATAGACCTAGATACGTTTGTATCTGCGTTTGGGTGCGGCTGGTCTTTGAGTTTTCCGACCCCTCCCCGGCTTCCCCGACACGCCCCCTTTCCACCGCCCTTTGTGGCGCTTTGACTTTGTCGCTTGTTTTAAGTGCGAGTGTGTAGAGGGCCCTTGTTCGTCTGACTCTGAATTTTTATGCGAGGGGGTTTGTTTGTATCCCCTGTTTTTCTATTTTTTAGAGGGGTTGTGTGCGCTTCATTTGTTGCAGAAAGGCACTTCGGCAGGACGTTAAAAATGAGTTAGTCAGTGGAGAAAAATAAAGGACGAAAACGGGTAAACTAAAATTATATATTTTGAAATTTATTTAAAAGGATATTATCTAAGTAGACATATAAAGTAATTATAAAAATCCTATTTAATAATTTATACATTTCATAGTTTTCGCATTATGCGAAATTAGAGATGGGGATATAAGTTCGATAGTCAACAAGACAACGGCATGGCCACACTAAATCCACAGGGTGACCAGGACCAACCAAAAGGTATGTCATTCTTTTAAACATAACACTGTTAAAACCGAAAAAAGGAAAAAGAAAGTGTATCTGAACAAGTAATTAAAAAAGTCTAGCAACTTAAATATATAAATTAAATAGGAAATTATCAATTTCTAATTATATAAATATTAATTAAAGACTAGAGAGCTGAGAACATGACTATAGCCATTTAGCTTATTGAACATAAATTTACATCAATGTTTTTATTTAATTATATAGTTTTGTTTATTATTCACAGACTAAGAGGCACCCCCAAAGTAACTCAAACTTTTGATAAACCATTTGTGGTCTCTATTGCCCTAGATCGAACATCTGTGGCTTGTTGTCTATTCAACTCCGCCACGAGACCTTTTCCGTTTCCGGTTTCCCTTTGCCCCTTTTCAATTCAGGGCCTGTTGCACATGGGAGTGTGTTTACACTCGCCTGCCAACTTCATTCAACGTTCTTGCCGGCAATGCATTCAACTGTCGCCAACTTCCGACCATAAGCCACAGCCAGTAGGTCTTTGCTTTTGTTTGATTCTGGCATTTTAGCATAAAGGAAGCCACCAACTTTTTACATATGTAGCGGATTCGGTTTGATTTGTTGTCGCTGAAGGCCTTGTGTAATTTATTTGTTTGCCTTGCCGTTGATGCCCATTGATTTATGCCAGGCGCCGAGCGGCGGCGCAATTGATAGTCTGCTTATGCAACGAGGAGCAGGACCCCCGATGGGACTGGGTCCTTTCTGCGAGATGTTTTTCATTAGACAAATGGTTCCCACAGCAGGTCGGAATGAAAACATCCTCAATATGCATGGAAAACATCTCGCCGCGCCCCCGGGAATCCGACGGAACACTCACCTTATTTACATGATCGCGCAGAACATTGGAGTAGACCATGGCGACAGCTTCCAGGGCCATAAATGTTATATAGCCAATTATCCAGGGTACAATTAGTCCGGGGTTCTCCTATGGAAACGCGAAAAACAAGAACCATCAATATATTGCCATTAGGAAATAAAGTGGTTGAAGAGGGGCCACAAAACCAGTACCTGGATAGAACTGAAGCTATTGATTTCATGGCTATACTATAAAATATGGCTCGGATGTGGGTGTTAAAAAGCGTGAGTGCGGTGCAATTTATCTCGCCACGGCGGTAAAACCCCTGATTGGATTTTTTGGGGCTTTTTCATGTGCTACAAATTTTTGCTGAGCACGTTGGGAATTCTGATGTGCAGCTGACAGTTTTTGGCCACAACGTTTTGCATCGCAATTTTGTGGGCCATAGAAAATGTATTTTGTCAGCGGATTACATTTTAATATTGACTGCAAGCTTGCCTAATTTATGAAAATCTATGTAATCCCATAACGAACATTTTATTTACGTGGAGAGTGAATTTATTCAATGACGAACTATTTTCAGCGAATTCAATGGTCAAGGTTATTGGAAGCTTTAAGTTTTCAAGGAGCTGGTTTGAGAAGGGGTTCATTGATTGGGTTTCCTGGGGTGTAAAAAATTGTTTGAATACAAGTTCAGCTAAAGCATTTAAAATAATACTATTTACCTCCAACTGCAGCCATTTTCATTTAAATTTGAAAAATAAATTTAAAGGTATGAAACCAATGCTTGTAATTTTAATTGCCCTAATGTAATTAAGTGTAATATTATCTATCTTATCTTCTTGTCAGTTAATCTACACAGCAATTCCACATTAATAAAGGACTTTAGAAATATCAAATAGCTGTCAAATAATGGCATTCTAAATCTTTTGTTTAAGCTCGCATTTCAATACACAATTTGTGTGTCTATTATTTGGAGAGCTCAAATGCAGGCTTTAATGTGTGTGATTTGAGCCCACCCCAATAGAGCTTGTAAGGAAAACAATGAAATGTTTATCTATTATATAAGCCATCAACCTCAATTTCGGCCGCAACTTTTGCTTGTTTCCCCTCGCATTTGTTGTCCAAATACTCGTTTAGCCTAATTAAGAACCAATGCTCTATGCATTATTTAATGGCCATCAGCTGCGGGCTCTCAGCTCGAGTGACTAAGAATGGGACGCCTATTAGCGAAGTGCAATTAATTTGACCATTAAGCGGACTTGGTAACATTTTCATTTCCCTTCGGCAGGGCATGGCATTCGCTTTGGCTGGAAATCTCGCTTCTTTTTTGGCTGTCAGAGGGAAAATTAAAAAATTCCACAAAATGTAGTTGGCAATTGCTCAGCAACAAAACCCGAGCTGAATTCGGGCTATGCAATCCCTATCCCCGTCAAGGGTCCTGGCAGCTCGGTTCCAGTTGAGTCAGCCCCGCGCCAATTGTGTGACAAATTGTCCACATTTTCGTGCCGCTGTCAATAGCATTGCTGGGTTTTTCTGGGGCGGTCGTGGTCCTACCAGGAATTCTACAGACGCTCGCACATGCACAGGGGTTTAAATATTCAGTTCTGTATATTAAAGTAAATGTTATACTTAAATAACACAAAATTCTAACTCTCAGTACTAAAAAAAAAACATTACTAAACCCAACTTTAAAGATCTTAATTGATTTGAACTAACTACATTTCATGGCTAAGTTTGTAGTCAGGTTCTAAGGACATAAACCTAGGTAAGGGTCATACTTATTAAAATTAAATACTTTTTTAAAGCATTAATTGTTGGATGCGTTTTATTAATTGACAAAAAACAAACTCTTTTAAGTTATCACCAATTCCTTAAAATTATTGTAGTGTACATTTGGGCGCCCCACGTGTAACATTTCGCACTCCAAAAAATCATATTAGAATTCTGAGGAGGCAACCAGGCGGTATGAGCGCTTTGCGTAATTTACATTTGAATGTGCTTTGTTTGCTCTGTTTGGTAAACATTTCCCGGCGCTCAGGCCAGGCACAATGCGCATAATTTGCGGATATTTGACTTTGAGTCGTTCGATTTGTGGGGGGGGTTGTGTTTTGTGTTTGGGCGGGGTGGCCAACAATGCGCTTAGTATTGTAAAACGCTCAAAGCCTTTAATCAAACAAGAGAACTCACCCGACATATTCCAAATATTAACACAATGCTCAGCAATATCATGGACATTTGTGTGCCGATAATGGCGAAGTATGCTATTTGAACACCTGCAATGAATAAATATAAGCCAAGATTAAGACGTAGTTCAATAAAGAGAAACTGATTAAAACGATAGCTTGCAAAAATTTATAAGAGCCAAAACAAGATTTGTAAATTTATCGACTAAACGCTTTTGAAAACTAGTTTATAGCTTGTAAAATTATTTATTGAAATGTAAACCAATTAATCAAATAGCCATTATCAATTTAACGCTTTGCGAACACAAGAATGAAAAATCACCACTTAAAGTTTGATCCCATTAATCAAAAATTAAGTGTCGCTCTCATATTTCATAAAGGAGAATACATATATTATATTGCACTCATATTGCAGATACAGCACCAAATTGTATTCCTTGGTGGGTAATGTGCCTCCGTTCTCATCTACATTTAATTTATTTATTAAAGTGGCTTTATTTATTATGTGGCTGCTTGTTGTTTCAGTATTCGGGTTTATAGCCGCTTTGGGTTTTGGCTCGAACCAGCTTCTGTGTGCTTAATTACCAGGCAGAGTTCCCGAACTCTGAACTTACCGTAGTAGACATCCTGCAGATCGGCCGACTTGTGCATGTTGACATTAATGCGCCACGAGTATATCAGTACGATTAGGAGCGATATATTCTAAAAGACAAAATACAGAATGAGTCACCGGAGAAATGGGAAATGTGTGTGGCGAACATGGCACGCATATGCAGTGAGCACCCGCATATAAAATGGTTCATGGGTCATCAAAGTCTGCCCTCATGTTTCTCCCCCCACTTTTCCCCTTTTTAACCCAACTCTTTTCGCTGTTTTTGCTCAACACGTTTTTACTTTTAAACGGGTCTGAACCCAATTTGATTTTAGGGTCTGAGGTGTTGGCTCGGGTTTTCTGCTAATTAATCCGTGAAAATGTTTCCGTGTTGGTTGTCTCTCGACTGTAAGGTAATAAGTTCCTGAAATTTGATTCCCATTTAATGGGGAATTTTACCACTCAAATTTTTTAAATTAAGGGAAAGCCAAAGGAATGTTGCAGATTAACATGAACCCTTTACAGTTGGGAACTTTTAAATGTTTTAGATTCTAAGATAAGCAAGTTAAGAAGACAAGATATTTATACGATTTCTAATAGAATAAAGTATAGTACTTTCGAAACATCATGACGAAATGAAAATCTACTTTAACCTAAATTTAGAAGTTAACTAAATTATAGAGAACATATATATTTTTATTTTACTGTTACTTAATAAATCTACAAAAGTACTTTAAAGGTGGGAATCCGTTTTGCAAAACCGATAATCCCTGGGGCAAGGCAGGTTTAGTATACCAGCAACGACTATGATAAACAAATGCGAAATGGCGTGCTTTTAAGATACATCCATTATGTGTCGTGACTGCACTCCCCGTAGTAACTCTCCCCCCACAGGAAGCCCCCTCCGAGCCCTTAACCCCGACTTATGCTAAACACGTAACGCTTACTTGGCCAGGAAGTGGGGCTCAGGGGGAAGTCTCTCTTGTTACGTCCGAGGTTGTGCTCGTAACTGCCATAAAATGCAGCACTAATTGCAGAAGCCAAACACTTAAGTTCTCTCCTTAAACAAAAACTAATTTACTCGCCACGAGTTGGTAACTGGCATTGCAAGGGGTATAATATGTCTATTGTTTGCCGCCAAGTTGCATTGCATTATATTTCTTGTAATTGTCTCCGGCGCTCCATTGTCCTTACAAGAAGTGTACAAAATAATGTGGAAAGCCCCAAGCACGATTTGCCCATTAACATAAATTAAAAGCCATAACGAGCATCATGTAATTGTAATTTATACATGCCACAAGTCGAAAGATGCGAGGAACGAGTGCTAGTTTGGTCTATCCATTTGGTAAGTTCCCTGGGGCAGTGATATTTTTTATTTTCCAACCAGGAGGTTGGTAAAGACCGAAGTCGGGAAGATTATCGGAATACCATATTTAAATTATATTACCTACGATTCAAAAAGAGCTACGAACTATGGAAGATTATGGTATGGTATTAAATTTTTTAAGTTATATTAAAGAATGTATCCCTAAAATGAAAAATATTTTTTATTTTACTAGCAATAAAAATAAATAATGTGTTTAAGCACCTAGAATTTATATATCGAGTGGGATTGTTTAAGAAATGTTAATACAAACTTGTAATGTTTTATTGCTTTATTTAAACTGATTTTGTATACGGAATGCTGTGGCTTTAAATATTTGTTCTAGAGCCAATAGCATTTTTTTAAGCATCGTAAGCCTACCAAACACCCCTCGCTGGTCATGGGAATATTCCCAGCCCTTCATAATAATAATGACGTTGAGGTATGCCACGGCACATTCAGAATGGTTGCAAAAAACCCTCGACGCGGACACTTGTCTATTAATTACGCCACAATTAACAGGCGAATATAATACCAGCTGCAACTACTGATTTCGTGCCCCTGTTTTTATTCGCGGCTTTTTCTTTTCATACCTGACATTTGCAACTAACGAGAACCAAATTACATACTTGTCACATTGCGCATACGCCCCCTGCGGCAGCCCATCCCCACAAACACTTACTATTGTGTAAATTGCACTTGTTATGGCCAAATTTTTGGCATGCAACATGCGACAGCAACGTGTGCCGCCGGTTAGCGGTCCATATGGATACAAAATGACGGACTTCATTTTCAGTTGCCTGTTTGTATTATTTTTGGCTTTTTCCCAGGCTTTTTTCCGCTCAGCGACGGCAGGACAACTTTTTGAGTTTCGCTTTCATTACGCGGACATCGCGGGATCAGGTCGCCGATGAGGCTGCTTCCCTCGGGCTGGTTATTATCCTCGTTCCGGGGACTTCCATTAAAAAATAGTGCGCCTGAAAAAATACGAGATAAATGGAAGGCTTTAAAAGTCATTCGCATAAATTGAGTGTTTGAGTGCTGTTTTGGTATGCGGCGCAGCTATTGGCTCGCTTTTCCCCAAAAACCAATCAATAGTTAAACATTTTCCATTCGCCATTCAATATTGAGCATTTATTTATTTGTGCATTTTATTGCGACAATTTGTTCGACTTGGCTGTGTGTGGCAGTGTAAATATCTCATGATTGCACACATCGGACTTTGGCTCGGTTTTGGCCAAAAAATGCATGCAAAAAGCGTAGTTTTGTGCAAGATCTGGCCAAAAACCCACTGAGCTGAAAAACAATTTGTGGAAAATCATGAAGCAAAGAAATTTGTCAGCTTAAAATTTCATGCTCCACTACTAATTAAAAATAAATATGATCATTTGGTGGCATCAGCTTCGATAAATTTATTAGGAAAAATAAAAATATATCAATGTGTTTTTACACCTTTAAGCACAGCTCCAAATCAAAGTTTAAGTTCAAGGAATTGAGCACCACAAGCTGAAGGCCTTTAAGCCTTTTGTTGGCGGGCTTCCCTCAAATCATCCATCTGCTTCCAGGCCAGATAACATAACCACTTTAAAGCCATCTTCTCCATCATCTGACTATCGATTTTCATGAATTTTCCCCCTCAGTTCCACTACAATAGCACTTAAGTTGCAGTGCTCTATCTGGCAAAGTTTTTCAACATTTCCAGCAAATGCTTTTCGTGTTCGCCAGACTCGCGAGTGATTCGCCCTCACTTGTCCAATCAACTGACAGCCAAAACATGGGAAACTCAAGCGTTTCGGCGAGCGTTTGGGTAATTAATGATGGGAAAAGGAAATACGCGCCACGGAATTGTCAGTTTTTGACAGATATCACTTGATGGGCTGTGCGAAAACTTACTTAATCACCGCCAAACAAATCTCTAAGATGTTTTCAATTAGTTACTGCTTAACTAATTACAGATCAGCAGACGGGAGAGAAGAGAACATGATTGATAGTGCGGCGCGAAGTGTACGAAATTCAACCCATTTTAATTGACCTCAAAAAAGAAGAGAGCATTTCACTTTCGCCCGCATTTCACTGCGTGTAAACACACTCATATTCGCACATTCCGAGGGGCGTTGGGGGCAAGGACTCGCAAGGACACAGCGCCATAGAACATGTAACGCTCTGCTGAGCATATTGAATGGATAACATCCCCTGCCAGAAGTGTACCAACTAGAACTCATCCCATGGAAACGGAACTCGCATTGTAAAATGTTTACGGTGTCGTAAAATATCAGTAACAAATGTGAAACCAGTGGCACACAAGCATAGGCACACATAAAAGTCAAAAAAGCTAAGAAAATAGGCCAGCAGAAGAATTGCTGGCCAAATAACAATACCAGAACAATGCAACAAGAAAACGGGCTCTTTGAACGCCCTTCAAGGCATTGTAAACTGATTGTTTATTTGTGAAAATGGTGAGGAATGCAAAATCGCAATAGGAAAAATTTTTGAATTGCTATTAATAATATTGTTGTTTTATAATTTAATATTTGTACAACTTTGATTTTTTCTAGAATATATAGAATCAGAAAGAATTCGACCAAAACTGCTAATGGGTGGAATAGGAAATGATTTATTAAATGCTCTCTGTCAAACGTGGATTGTGTAGGTGTTGCTAATTATAATTATACCAATTAATGAACAATAAAAGATTTAAAAAAAATGGAGCCTGTTTTTACGAATTTTGTTACCAGTATTTATTTTTCAATGTTGCAGTGGTTATTTCATCTTTTCTTAATATACATATATTTCTCCACAAAAAATTGATTTGCAAAATATTTAAAATAAATTTTATAATACAACACTTGTTAAATTAAAATTAATCTTAAAATAAAAGGAAATCAACTTTTAATTGGCTTAACTACATTCAATGCAATATATTTGTCATGGTACACCCTCATAAGTTTATCCCCCCATATATACCCATTTTATAACACTTGTTAAATTAAATTTAATCTAAAAACAAAAAGAAATCAACTTTTAATTGAAGCTAAAATACTGTCAATGCACTATATTTGTAATGGTACACCCTCTGAAGTTTATCCTTTTATAATATAACACTTTTTAATGTAATCTAAAAACAAAAGGAAATCAACTTTTTATTGGTGCTAAAATACTGTCAAGGCCTTATATTTGTCATGGTACACCCTCTTAAGCTTATCCTGCTATCCAATTATGATCCTTTTAAAGCCATTTTGTTATGGAACCGAGTTTAAAAGCTTTTTGCATTTTGCATTTTGCAAAGGCATTGGCTCGGAGTCAAGTGGGCCCGCATATTGCAAACATCAAGTACTTTTCATATCGGCGCCCCAGGCAGAACCCCCGGCACCCCTTCCACAAGAACGACACAATGAAAATCAATAAAAAATATTGCATTACTTTGGGCTTTGTTTCGGTGTTGTTTTTTGTTTGGCTCTGTTTGCCCTATTGTTTGTGTCGATATCGGCGTATGATTGATTTCGGGACACACGCAACGTCCTTCTAGGCACGAAAAATGTTGCATAACTACACGTAACCACCGGGGAAAAAATAAAATTTCGAATTGCAGTGGGTGACAGCAGCTGTGACAGATTTGAAGGCTTTTGCGGTGGGGAAGAGGGCTCTACAAAAACGCTAGTCAACAAATTCGATTCAATAAGCGCCTCACATCATATTTACCTTTTTGCCCCATTGAAATGGGGAGAAATACCCGATATTTTTGGGGGATCGGAGCGAAAGGGGGCTGGGGCATAAGCCTCTCAGGGGACCCTATATGCATGGAAATGACTCTGCCGGTTGTTGGCTTCTCTCTAAGCGCATTACCATCTCCATCTGTGTGGGCGTTTCGATGGGTTCCATTGGGTTTGGACTTGGTTTTGGGACTGGCAAAGATATATGGCAATCGGTCCATATGCTGTTCATAAAATGCCAATAAATTAGGAATAATTGAGAGATGGTGTGACGTTAAATTGGTTTGCTTTTTGCGATTTTATTGTGTGCTGCTCACAGTGTTTAATGTGTTTTCGATTCATTGGTCAACGTTATATGATTGCATGATATTGGATAGGAAATTTCCAAGCCCATTTTTCGGTTAGGGTATCTCATTTGAAACATAAACATGGCTCTGATTAATATGCACAAAAATTGCATAATATTGGATTACATACTATTTTGTATTTGCTTTCTTTTCATATTTATTTGCATTTATCTATGGATTTTTGTGGAAATAAGTAAACATAATTTTTTCATACCTAAATAAATACAAATGCAGTTTGTTAAATACCAATGTATGAACATGAGAATAATATATAAATAAATGTAAAGTATTGCATACCACAAAAACCCTGGGGGATTTATTTCTGTAACCATATCATCCTAAAGCCTCCTTAAATTTTATTTACCGCCTTCCACATAGCCAAACTCTTTTCGAAATGAACACAGAACGTTGGATTCCGTTCCATCTGAGATCTTGGCTTAAATCTGTGGTCATATGTTTCAGTGGGTCATAATCGGGAGTAAAGGACTATCCGCCCACCGACGTGGGATGTCACAGTTAATTGCGCATTTGGCCGGGTTATGTTCAGATAATCGTCACATAAAGACATTTCATTGTTGTTTGGGGTTTGGCAACAGCGGCAAATACGTGTCTAACATAACCGGAGGGGCAGCTTCTAATAGGACCCCTTCCACCTCCGGAGAGTCCCCACAGCCCGGGGATAATATTTGCTTAACAAACATTAAAGTTGTTTTGGCCCTTTGTTTCATTTCTGTTTATTCGGCTAATTTATGCTACGCCTTATTGCTTACTTTGCCGTCACGCCATAATGTTACGACTTGGCCGCAGCTTAGCTTTCTTGGCCAGAACTTTGTTGGTTTGGTTTCTTGGGTTTGTACAGCGGGGCCTAAATGTTGATTTCCAAGGGCCTCTTTGTATTCCCGGGCGTTTGGCCAGCGTCGAGCACTCATTATGATTCATTGTTGCCTGCAGGAGTCAAAAGGTAGAACGACTAAAAAGATTTATTAGCACCAGGCTCCATAATGAAGTTCTTTAGTTGAGTTAATGTTTCAGCATTTAGACATGCTGGCCATGTCAAAGGCTTTCTGTTATCCGGGATGAGAATAGGAAAGGGAGGGAGCAGAGAAACAGATTGGAAATCCTTTGGGTTAGTAATCCTGGCATGCCATGGAATTCCATTGCAAGGGATTTGTATGGCGGAATGGAATTGAAGTCCTTCTAAGCCCTGTTGTGTAAGAACTTTGGGAGCAATATTTATTCAACTAACGACCAATTACTTCCATACACATAGAAAAAGGGTTAGAGCGAGTGTTCTCAAAATTTGTTACGAATCACTAGGTTTTCGAAATAACAATATTATTTTAGGACTCTAAAAGTATGCAGGGAATAGGGTTAGCCATCTTACCAAATGAATTCATTGTACTTCTAGGTTTAAAATATAGTGTTGCATACTTTTAGGTACCTTAAAAATTATGTTTAAAAATAATTTTAAGACCCTTTGAATTTATGGGCACTCCAATTTATACGAGAATAGATAATGTTATTCTCGCCATTCCATTTTATGTTCTATGATATTAGGGTTAATATAAATCCAAAAAAACTTTTACTGACTTAGGATAGCTTGATATATTTCTGCCTCTGTATAAAGATCTTTCTTTCGTCGGCCTGAAATGAAAGTTCTCATTTATAAAGATGGCTTCACTTTCCCCTTCAATCCGGCTTTCAATTTTCCATCCATTTTCGTGCCCTGTAATTGAAGTTTTCTGTTTGTTTTTCTTGCGCCAGAGCTATCCGCAAGGAACTGTCATAAGAAACCTTTTCCGCTGCCCTCCGCAAAAGTTGATTATTACTTATAGACTTCCAGACCCTGGACTGTAATCACTGGACACACTGAAAACTGGCTTAGACCCTCTTTTACCCTCTTTCCCCACTGTCCTAGAT